TGTACGTGAAAGAATTTTCTTTGGCTTGCCCCTTCCTGGATGGTATAAAAGCTCTGTGTTAACTAACATTAAATTGTCATCTGTTCAGGAAGCAGGTGTCCGTGTATATGATCTTCGTCCGTCGCCTATCTGTCTCTCCTTCAGGATATCTCACGACCCTTGCGGGGCGGGCCCCCGCATAATCCAGTAAAATTTCCTTGAGGCTTATCCTCATATTTTTATTTTACAGAAGAGATAACCAGTTATCAGGAAACAGGAGTAATTTAAATACGGAAGTAAATAGTTGAGCCTGGATTTTTTAGCTGCTTTTTAATTTAAATTCCAGAAGTTTTCCAAACCAGATTCCCACGGAAAGTGGACTAAATAAATAAAATGTGGTACATATATATGGTGGAATATTATGCAATCATAAAGAAGAACAAAATTACAGCCTTCGCAGCAACATGATTGCAGCTAGAGACCATCATACTATGTGAATTACCACAGAAACAAACAGAATAGCACATGTTGTCACTCATAAGTAGGCCCTAATCATTGGTCCCATGAACATAAACACAAGGGAGGGAACCACAGGTGCTGGAGACTGCTAGGGGAGGAAGGGAGGATGGATAAGGGGCACACAATCACACACTGGGTACCAGGTTCACTATCAGGAGCAGAGAGGACCCGCCAGATTCCCAAATCTCACCAGCACCCAATTTACTTATGTAGTAATCCTCATATGTACCTTACTACTCTAAAATAAAATTTAATGAAAGAAATAAATACAAAATAAAGTCCAGGGTTTTTACCCACTCTATCCCAGATGGTGCTCCTCTCTTAGGTTTATTGGGTGATGGTTGATGTGAGAAAGGATTTTCTGTGTGTTATTTATCCTTTGCCATGTAAATAAAGGTCGTTCCATTTTATTAGATGTTTATGCAATAATCCAGCAATCAAGGATAATATTGTATCACAATGTATTCGCATCCTTATTAGCTATGCACATTTAAATGTTAGATAAGAGAAAACATCTATAAACATAAAATACATGAAATGGTCTTCGAATGTCTCTTTTTTTCCTGAGTTTTAAACCACCTAATTGTTTCCTGCATAGTATTTATGTCTATGTTTCTCATTAATAGCTGTTAATCATGTGTTCCATTAACGGCCACTTTCAAAAGAATTGGGACGAAGCTATTAGAGAAAGTGTAGAACGATGGCAATTATATGAATAACTAAAGCCAATAGATTTTGAAATTCAAAGAAGAAAAGTGACTTTTAGCACTTTCCTGGGACTCCTCCAGGCTATGACTAAATGCATTCTTTGAAACAAATATTTTTATGACAAATGTTACATGATATGGATTTAATCCCAATGTTAAATCTAGACTGAGAGATAACTTATCCTTGCTTCAAATAGAAAACCTAGGCAAAGCAAGAAACATCAACAAATAGGCAGATATTTATATCATACAGATAATGTATTAAGGCTCAAGAAAATTAAAGATCACATGGTTAGAATCTGTGTTGTATATTATAATTAGGTTTGTAATAAATTGACTCATTTATTTACAGTTCATCTCCTTTTATGAGAGACTTGAGCTTTCACAATAGACTTCAGACCACTCTGATAGGAAATGAGCAATTATAGAAGAAAGGGAAAATATACCATGGAGCAACTAAGAAATAACAGAAGCTGGAATTTGTGGAGTTTTCATTCAATATATTGAGTGGCATTAATTTCTTATCTCTGTAACTGCTCTTCTCTGGTTTTCTCAAGGCTGTCTTGTTATATTTGAAAAAATTAGATTTGGTCTTATTTTCCAAAATTATATATTAAATGGATGAGAGATTATGTATTAAAGACATTAATACAATTTAAGAGAAAGCATGCAATGATGTCCAGAAGATCCTGCATCTAAAACAGAGCAACAATAACTATCCTCAGTGAAACATGAGAAAGTCCAGTAGAAAAGGGAAACATCAATCTCAATTGAGAATATGAAGCAGAAAGTTCAAATTCCTACTCTAAAGAGTGATTACATTTATTATATACTAGAATAAAAGACAAATGTTTCTAGAAAAAGCAATAAACATTGGGTTACTCTTTGACTGCAGTTTTAGGGGAAAAAGTCATATGGGTAGTTCATAAGTCTGTGCATTTAAGTCCTGGTTGGTTAACAGATTAGGCTGAGTTAAAAAAGACAAAATTATCTTCACTAACGTTTTGCAAATATGTTTGTTTTCAAGCTGTGTTATTTTAAAGTCACCCAGATTATTTTAGAAAATGTTATAAAACATATGCTAATAATCTATCAATTGAATTCAAATATTACATACCTGCTTATGTATACACAGGGTGTCAAAAATGCATACACATTTTAAGAGATGTCATTTATGTATTACTTTTCAAAGTTGAATTAAATTAATGTAGCAAAGTGTAGTATGACATTCGCTCAACCTTGCTTCCATCATTTTCTTTGACTGTCTTGCATGTCGCATTGTGGCACTAAGCATTCATTTGATTAATGTCATCTTTTGAGCAAATGTCATGCTTAAAATGTGTATATCTAATATATAAGGAGAGACAGAGAGAGGGAGGGAAGGAGTCCACTATATACTGTCTCAGCGAGCAGGCCTTCTCTCAGGAATCTTATTGTAGAGTATAGAGAGCTGGGAGAGTAAATAAAGTATGTAAAGCAGGAAACACACATGCAAAAGATGGCAGAATCACTATTCTGAAAGATCTTAGTGGATTGGAATCATGAACAAGATGTAATTTAAAAATTAAAAAAATCTATAGTACTGTACTCAGATTCCTCCAAAGCAACTGTAAATCTATAAGAGATGTAAAACATGACTCACCAGGTATAAGAAGAAAGCCTCTGTGATCTAAAACAAATGTATCCATCTTTTGAAACTCCCAGCTTCTATTATAGCACTTGGTCCCAAGTAGATCTTTAATAAATGTTTGTTAAATTGCCTTGGATCATACTTAGAAAATTGTGTCCATAGTAAACCTAAGGAAAGTCAAGAGAGCAATGTGACTAAGAAATAAAAATTAAAAAGTGAATGGGACCTTCATTGTACTGGTAGAAAGAGGAAGTTTATCATCTTGTTCAGTTTCTTAGTCAGGGCAAACTTAGACCACTCTTTTTAGCTCTGGAATTGTATTTTAAGGGCAGATAGGCAAACTATAACATAAGTAGGCAAAAGATATGGCTACTGAAAGAACTCAAAATTACTTCTTATAAAAAGCAACTAAGGATGCTGTTTAACTTGTAAATGAGACTGCTCAGTTAATTTCAAATATATGAAGTATAAAGTAATTAGTTATCATTAATTTGCAGATACTATTGCATTTTATATCTCATTTAATCCCACAAAGGTGTGTACTACTAAACCTTTGTTTTCTTTTTGACTGATGGGAAAGCTACTCATTCACTCAGAAAGGTAAAGTAACATATTCAAACTCATACAGCCAAACACTTACAAACCTGATTCAGGAAAGGCTTTAACTCCAAGGCCAGGACTTATAACACTGTGTCTATTTGTCTTTCACATGATGTGAACTCAGAGGCTTCTGGGAGTCCTTGGGGAACTGAGTGAATGGCAGACAGATCTCAGCTCAATGTAAGTAAATTGATTTATTAGTTCATAGAGAATATGTTTTAGGGTATTTTTGTTAGTCTCTCGGAAGTCTCTGTAACATGTCATTGCTGAAATTATACCCTTTAATGTAAGAAGATAAAAATAATACTGAACACTCGCAAAATAGCCTATGATTAATACAGTTTACCTATGAGTTATCTGTTTTCAAGACAAATGCCTAAAAATAATATTGGAATTAAATGTTCCTTTCAAGCTCCTCCCTCCGTGCAGTTAATTTTCCATAACCAATGGGGGTTGTGTATTTTTCAATCTTTATTGTTAAGAGATACATATATGCACAAATATATACATGTGCAGAAATGAGAACTACTTCGAAATTAGTGCTAACTTTACCAAAAAAAAAAAATGTTACTCCCGTTATATTTATAAAATTATTTTAAAAATAGAGGCACTTGTGGGCTTAGAAGTGAGGCATAACATTTTAAAATGTATCAGTGTTCCTCAAGGACCTTGTCTTAGGCCACTCCAATTCTAGACATCTATGTTGCTCTTCCTGGAAGTTCTACACTAGAAAATAGACTGAAATAATGCAAATTTTGTTTGGTTTTAGCAGCCTTCTTCTCAGAAGCATGTGTCTATCTAGGAATTCTGGAAAGAAAAGGGATAAATAATTCCAAACAGATCTATGAGATTTGAGATGTAGATCAACACCATCTTTAGCTGACTTTTCAAGATGTCACAACTCCCTGACTTCTGAAACCAGTTGCTGTGCCTCCTCCCCACTAGGACAAGATTAGGTGCAAATAGAACTTCTACTCTAAGAAAAATCGGAGGACATGGGAAAAGGGTTTTCTCCACAAAAGTTTGTTTCTCATTTCTTTTTCAGAAAACAAAGGCTCCCTCTTGTTTCAAACAGGCCTGCAGTGTTGGAAATGTGAAAAACAACACCTTTTCTCAGATGAGGGTAATGAGGCCAAGAAGGACTATAAAAGAAGATTGTGTGCCTCTTGCCCCAAATAATAGCAATAGGCAGTAGGAATGGAAGAGGATTGGGGTTTCAGGATTGTTGAGGTTTCACCAGCCCAATGTATTTCCCGTCAAATTGTGAAGAGAAAGGGGAGCTGGAAAAATGGAATGATGTCATCTCCCTTTCTTCTATTTCTCTGCTGCCAAAGACTAATTCTATCTGTCTCTCTCCCCACCCTTCTCTCCAACTCCCTTCTAGGAAGTGTTTGCACCGGAGAGGGCCCCTCCTTAGATGGTGTTTGCACAGAAGCGAACCCAGTGAGGAGCCCGACTCCTTGGATCGCTTTGCGCAAAATCCACCCCTTCCTTCTCCTCCCTCCCCTCCAGCCTCCGGATCCCGCACGCACCCCCCTCCCCTCCCCGCAGCGGTGCGGGCTTGGGGATGAGGCTCTGTGTACTATTAGGGTGGGAGGGGGCCGCGAGCAGAGGAGAACGCCAGGCGCTCGACTCTCCCCTCTACCTGGCGGTACTCTCTGGTCCCGCCAGGGGTGATCTCTGTAAGGAATAGCAGGGGCTGCGGCCGCGGCGACGGGAGGTGACTGAGGCGCGCGGAGCCCGAAAAGTCCCGGTGCTCTCGGGTGCCTCCCATCCCGGTCGCCGGCCGGCCGTCAGCACCATGGACAGCAGCGCCGTCCCCGCGAACGCCAGCAACTGCACTGATCCCTTCGCGCACTACGGTTGCTCCCCAGCACCCAGCCCGGGCTCCTGGGTCAACTTGTCCCACTCAGATGGCAACCTGTCCGACCCATGCGGTCCAAACCGCACCGAGCTGGGTGGGAGCGACAGCCTATGCCCTCCGACCGGCAGTCCTTCCATGATCACGGCCATCACCATCATGGCCCTCTACTCCATCGTGTGCGTGGTGGGGCTCTTCGGAAACTTCCTGGTCATGTACGTGATTGTCAGGTAAGGAAGGCGCCGGGGCTCCGAGCGGAAAGTCGGCGGTAAAAGGGGGGCGCAGAAGGACACCTGAGCCCCAAGGCCCAGTGTTTGGCGGGAGGATGACAGAGGGAGAGACTGTGGGGGCGACCGCGGATAGAGTGGCTGCTGCTTGTGTGCGGAAAGCTACTTTTTTTTTGAATGTTTCCTCCATTGTTAAAGAAAGAATCCAAAATATCAGGAACAGAGAAGTTGCTTTGGTAAAAGCCATAAAGGTCTGGTCAAAAAAAGAAGAGTATCATCGAGCTCCCCCTTAAACTGAGCCAATAGAGGCTTTAGAGCAAAGTCCTACAGTCAGTCAGCCTGCAGGAGCTATGGAAACAGTAAGTTGTGAAGAGTGGGAGAGGAATTTTAGTTAGTTTTCCGTAATTGAGGTGCCAGGTCCCCTCCGTTGATTTAAGAGGTGAGCCTTAGCAACTGTCTACTCTGGCTGGTTTAAGAGTACTTCACAGTACCACAGCCCCACCCTTTCTCTTCCCTCTTCATAGCAGTCTTTGCTTCACTCTTTCTTCCATCCTGAGGCCACACTGGATAGAGGAAGTTTTCCTGGCATCTGTCCGTGGTGGTGTTACTCTGTTGCAACAAACGTGAGGTCCAGTTGTCCAGTCCATTTCTCAGTTGACAGATGCAGACTTCCTAAGTCACAATTTGCATCTAGAACAGGTTGGGTGGTTCAGCAGAATTGCAGGACCTGAATTTTTCAACGTCTCCAAAATTTCGAACCAATTAGGAGTGACCAAAAGCATCATAATTCTGCATTAGAAACTAAGATACGTAAAGTTGTAATGGGTGCTCTAAACAAAAAGGAAGTATCTTTACCGAGTGAGATTATTCAAAAAAGTTTGTGGTGCTCTTATTGTTTATCCAGGTGACCCAGGTCTATCTGGCAGAGTGTGCAAGCTTTCAATATCAATTGAGATTTATGTTGATTGCACTGGTGTTGATGTTTATGTTCAAATAGTATATGTGCATGTAAAATACTACACATTCACCTTTGGTAAAGAATATCAATATTTTAACACTTTAAATGGGCTCCTAATTTGAGTGTTTCTTCCCACCATGGGTTATATATGTATATGCAGTGACCATGACATTTTCATGTTTAGTTACAATGTTTACTTCACTTATTCAGCAAATATTACAGGTGTTTCAGTGGAGTTCTTAAAGCATGTATTAATTGCTCCCCCATTATGCTTGTATTACGAAGTCTCCGAAAATTACTTGTAATCAATTCTTTCTACTCATGTGTCTGATTTCTTTAATTAATGATTGATGAGGAATAGAGCTGAGGTTCCTGATCTTTTGATGAGGAATAAGATAAGTTTTGTCTCTGTGAAAAGAGCACCATCTATTGAGAGGAAGGCTAACAACAGAAGGAAAATTGCAGGAAGAAAATCAATGGAAGAATTTATTTTTTTTTAATTTACTTTATGTAATTCAACACTAGAATTCTCATTAAAAATAAAAACTAGGTCTCATTCTTCAGTTATGGCAATACAAATTATAATTAAGGAACTATCTTGTGAAAGTAAAATATGTTTCTCATTTATTCTAAATAAACACCATAGAAGCATAAGCTGAGAGAGCTATCAGGGACTCTAGTGATTTTTCTATGCCAGGTGAGTAAACTGAGACACAGAAAATATGAATAATTTCTCCAAAAACAGGGAGTTCATTAGTTCAGTGCCACTGAATCTCTCTTCCCTAATATAATTTTATGTTTATTATGGTGGCATATTGTGATTTGAGTTAATACAACTATTAGGTTGACAAGGTGGGCTGAGTCAGTAATAATAATAAGAAATTGCCCCCTAAATCTATATCTGGAATCCTAAAGAAAAAAAGCATACAACAGAAATGACTCAAACATCTAGAAATCCTGCCATCTGAAATACACTTCTCCTTGATATTTTCCTTCCTCATTTTCCTCTCCTTTGGTTCATGCTTTTCTACAAAGAGAGAACAATAAAGCAGCAACTGGCTGGGAAACAAGCAGATTGGTCTCATTTCAGCATATAAGAGGTTGCTGGTTGGGTGAGTTAGTTTTAAAGGCGTTACCTCTGACCTCTCGTTCACTTGGAGAAAGATGGTGACATTGCATCTTACCAAGAACATGATATTGTTCTTTATTCTCTGTACTTAACGTTCTGACAAAATGCAGTACTATTTGAAGGTCATTCCAAACACCCACTTGTGGCAGGTTGTGTGTTCAATTCCAAAGCCAGATAACCCTCTTGGAATGTGACTATGGAATAGAAAAATAGGCAGTTCAGTGACAGATGATGTGGCAGGGAAAGCATCTGGGATTAACAAAAGTATGTCTATTTAGCTGAGAATATTTAACTATCTCCAGACCATAGTGTTTTAACTACAAAATAATCAGTTCAGGGATATTATTGTCCCTGCTAAAAGATTGTATATAATGCTATGTCTATTAAAGTATTAAGGAGAAATGCTCATCTCCTTCAACTATTTAAAATTCACCAAGTTCTACTGAATGGCCAGGTAGTTGCAGTTTGCTGACTAGATTAAGGTAATATTTATGAGAATGTTTCAGTACATTGAGTAAATCCTGAGGCTCAGATGACTATGGTAACAGCAACAACAAAAATAACTGCTAAGACAGATACCACAATTAACTCTTTTCTGTTTTGTTTCTCCTCATACCATCATCAACAACAATATTAAATAACTTAAGTGAGATTCTTGCACAGTGCTTCTCTGAGGAACATAAGGGAGGAAAACATATTGTCATATGAGCTAAAGATTTAAAATCCAGATGATAAATGATAGAAATGTTATTAGCAACCACCACCTGGATACATTTTTGGTTATAAAAAAAAGTTTGCAGACTAATAATATAAAAATGACCACAAAGACTTTGTAAAATATGATGATAAAATGTAGCAATAATTTAAAATGGAATGATAGTATATTATTGTCAAGGATCTTTAAAAAGTCAAAATAATGCATGAAGCTATAGCCACCAAAAATGTTTTCCTCATGGAAAATATTTGACCAAAGTAAAGATTAACTATAGTTGAAAAACTAGTGTAGTCCCAGATGTGTTTAATTTATGAGGTCTTTTTCTCCTCAAGAAAATGTCTGTATAGCTATGAACATGGTATGTATAGACACTGTTGAAGAGTGTAGGCTAAACTAAACTGTGGGCTGAGTAAACTGTCTTTTTAGTAAAGTTCCAGTGAAGCATGCAAAGTAATGGTGCCTTCATTTTTAAGATTATTTCTTAATTTGATTCGATAAATTCTCAATATCATCAGTTATCAGAAATAAAGCACTTAAATATATGCAAGACTTGTCATTTCTATTTCCTAAAATATATTTCTAAATCTTAGAAAAAGTCCTGTGAGCTTACACTTGCTCAATATACTAAATATTTGATTCAGGTTCCAATACAAGATGAACAGTCATGTTTCATTAAAACAGAAGCATAGTTTTTAAACTTAATTCAGATTTAAATGACTGGGAAATTAAAGAAAAATAATGTTTTATCTAATGTGCAATATATATGCATGTATATGCACACATATGTGTGAGTATATAAATATACATCTACAATGTATATACACCTATATATTTGAGTGCATATGTAACCACATATGGTCACTAGTAATTTTTATAAACTAAAAAGATAATAGCTTATTTAGAAATCTTAAATAGTAATAAAGTTCGCTTTTTTAAAAATCCACAAAATATCCTAATTAAAGGAGGGATTTAAAGGGGAAAAAAAACTAAATAAAATTCAGTTCTTAACATAATGATTTACATTTTAAAAACCCAACTTCATTGCATACCTTTCATGTAGTCATGAGGAGCATCTGGTATCTGTTACAATTTGAACTTTAACTTCTATTTCCCACATAGATGTTAACTCTATAGTGAGCAACTCTTCTTCTGTGTCTCATGGATGCACCAAGTTGCTTTTGTTTTCCTTGTTGTAAGCTGTGTCCGTCATTTGCATTATCAATCATTGAGTTTCCTATACTCTTCTCTCTCTTTCTCCATGAAAGAATGGACAATCATATTTTATGAAATATCTTCAACATTAAAAATGCATAATTACATAGCAATTCTTCTCTTAGAGAATGGTTGGATGGATGAGTGAATAAGTAGGTAGATATATACATCTGATACAGTTGAAGTATTCTCTCCACTACCACAGGCCTCCCTCTCCTGTGACTACCACTATTGTGAATTTGGTGGTGATTACCCACATGCATGTTTTTAAACTTTTACCGCATATGTATGATGCGTCTCTACAAACAAAATATACTATTTTTACATGTTTTTATAACATTTTATAACTTGTAACATATCGTCCATTTAAGTTTATATGCGTAATTTCACTAATTGCTCCAAGTTGTTCTAATTCCAGCAGGTAAATGGTAGAAACTACATTTCAACAAAACAAACACTAAAAACAAACAAACAAAAGCATTCTGTTCTTTAGCTCTTCTGAGATAAATTTAAATAAGGCATAGTTTCTTTATGTCTAAGAGGACATAAGCATAATTGGTCTCTGATTATGTCAAAATTTATTCAATTGCTAACAACATTTATTTTGAAATTTTTAACATCCTGTAGGACCCTTTACACATAAAAGTTGAAAATAGTATTTCTTCTAGGATTCTGTTTAAGATAGTAGTCAAAGTAGAATTTTCAAAGACAGCAAGAAAAAAAAGCTCATTTTGATAAATTACATAAAACGAGATGACATTTTAAAATATACTAGTGAGAAACACAAAGACTATATGATGTATAAAATCTTTAAATATGAGAATTTTAAGTCTTTAATCCTCACAAAGTTTAACATATATTTAACTTAAGTAATAATCTGTGATAGCAGTCTTCAAACTTGTTTCTAGATGTACATACTAATTTAAAGAACGTGGAAGCCTACATATATAATAGGTCATAGAAGAGCTGTCCAGATGTGATCATGTGTT